GTGGTAAACTTGAATGATCAAAGTTGCAGTTGTAGGTTTTGGGAGATTACAGGTTTCCCATGTAGACATGTTGTTTGTGCTATATGGGACAAAATTGAAAATGGTGAAAATGCCCCACATGTTGATGAATGGGTCCATCCTTGCTATAGGTTATCAACATGGAAAGCCATGCATTTCAACAAAATTGATCCATTGAATGGACGTACAATGTGGCCTAAAAGTGACTGCCCATTCACTTTACTTCCACCAAAACATAAGACACAGGTTTGTATTTAAAGTGCACCAAATATATAGTATACATGTGAACATGGAATGAATTCAATTTAAACTATAGTATATCAATATGTGTAGGTTGGGAGGCCTAAGAAGAAGATAAGAGGAGTGTTGATGAGCCAAACAGCCAAGCTGGTAGATTGAGCAGGAAATATTTGGCAGTCACTTGTTCAAAGTGTCATAACAAAGGGCACAATTCCAGAACATGTAAAGGGCAAGGAGGTAGTGGTGAAGTTGGAGGGGGCTGAAAATTATTTTTAGTGGTTATTAGGATGCTGGTGTTGTAGGTATTTAGAAACTTAAGTCATGTGTACTTGTTTAAAGATGTGTTAAGAACTTGAAAACTTTGCATGTAATGCTTGTGTTGTAGGTCTTTTGAAAACTTTGCATCATGGTTGTGTTAAGAGCTTTATAACTTTGAATGTAATGGTGTGTATGCACTTTTTGGTGATGAATTAATATGTTTAGTGTACTACCCTTCACAGATCAATTAATAATATTATACATTTCAATTGCAAATGAAAACCATCTTCAAGATGCATTTACAATACACTTAACAATTGCATTTCAAAAAATTCAAGAAATTGAACAATGAACTATAACAAACAACATTCCATTACCATTACCAATGCATTACACATTAATCCGATACATAAACCAAATACAACAATACCAATTCCAAAACCACCTAGATAAACTGAAAGCAAAAAAATCCCTATCCGATTAAAAAAAAAAAAAAAACCCTGCAATGGTTACAAACCAAAAACCAAAACTCCATTACCATCCAAACCTTCACAGGATACTTAGAAATTAAAATAATACCAAAAAAAAAACACCCATGAACAAAACAACATCAGTTGGTAGTTCCACAATTATGCAGTTATAATGGCGACCCTATCTTCCAATTGATTCTTTGATCTTATCAAACCTGGAATCACCACTACTGCCTTAGCACACATAGGAGGATCAGACCATCGAATGAAACCACATCTTCTACAGTTCCAAAATTATCTTTCAGGGTTACGATCCGTCCATGAAGTGATCTTCGTTGCTTCATTCCCACACCTACAAGTCATCATCTTTGAATCAGAAGCTATTCGATGTCGTGAAGGGTGCAACGGTCGGTCGAGCAACAATGGAAAGGAGGAGAGGAGAGATGAGGATTGATAAAGCTAAAGGGGAAACCAAAAATCGAACATGCAATTTCTTTTAAAGAGAGAAGGTTACAACTGAAATGATGAAATTACCCCTGCAATATTTTATTAAAAAATAAGTTAACGGTGAAATGCTAACGGAGTGAGCCGGAAGGACCATTTGTTAAAAGTTTTGAAACCACAGGGACCATCTGTGAGGTTTTTTGAACTTAGGGACTAAACTTGATATTTTTGGAAACCACGGGGACCATTTTTGAAGTTTTGTCTTTTTAAAATTAAAAAATATCAGATTTGTTGACTGAATGCAAAGTAAACTGGGAAAATGAGGCTCTTCCCATTAAGTCTTACCATTTTACAAATTTGACCTTATTTAATTTTTCTTTCCTAGTTTTATATGTCATTTGAACATCATTTATCCGAATAATATCTAATGGAAAATTAAAAAAAGAAAAACATACAAAGCAAGATATTCACAAAATGATGAGTATGTTGATCATTCGTCTTGTTTCTGACTTTCAAAAATCGACCCTCCCTATTGTCTTTAAGGATTCACGATAGGGATGAGTAAGGGAACCGACCCAAATCGAACCCGGCTGGGGACCGAAGTTGGTTCAAATTTAGAGTGGAACCTAACCGCCGGTTCTACCGGTTTCGGTTTTTACCCGATCTTCAATGTTAGAACCGGTGCTCGAGAAATAACAACGTGTTTTGAGAAAAACATTATTACTGTCAAGTTGTGTATAACATGCAATTACTATCAAGTTGTGTATAGCATGTAATTAGTGATATTATCCTATTTGGATATAGATATAATTGTTTTATGCTAATGTCATTAAAGTAAACTGTAAAGTTTTGGAGTTTGGGTGAAGTTTTTGATGTATCCAAATTTGAGTTCGACTAAAATGAGTTGTAAATAGCATTCTAAAATACTTTCAAATGGAATTTAAATGGTAGAAAAATGGCATATAAATATGCCATTAAATGTTAAAAAGGGGCGTATCAATAATGATTGTCAAAATCGTGATCCTGATTGTAGGATCGTATCAATCATGTTAAAAAGGGGCGTATCAATCATGTTAAAAAGTGGGTAGGATCGTAAGATCGATATCCGATCCTACCTACCCTTGAATATATATATATATATATATATATATATATATATATATATATATATATATATATATATATATATAGCATATTAATCATATCTTGAATTTTAAGAGGTACAAAATACAAAGTTTTTTGTACAAATCAATTATGCATAACAAAACCATTAATACTTAACAAAATTTTGAAAAATTGAATTAAAGAATGTTATTAAAAATTTAATTTTGAGCAAAATAACAATTTTAAAATATTAAATTCATCAATATAAGTTAATTTACATTTCTTAAACTAGATACCAATAATAATTAACTTACATTAAATGTATTAATATACAATATAAATATAAGTTCTAAACATAAGTATTTAAATTAAAAGTGATAATTTTTCTTATTACATAATAATTAATAACAAAATCTAATAATTATTTTCTCGTAAGAAAATTATTCGTAAAAAAAAAACTATTTATCGCCGTTGATTTGCACGGGCACACATCTAGTGTGTGTGTCTATATATATATATATATATATATATATATATATATATATATATATATATATATATATATATATATATATATATATATATAAGGTTAAAACTCGTGGAATCCACGGGTGTTAATTTTAAATAGAATTAAAAAATTAATTATGTAATAAAATAATATATCATAAATTTAGAAAACTTATGATTTTGCAAAAATATATTGATTTACAAAGATAAATGTTTTATCTATAAATTTATAAATGGTTAGTTAGAATTAAGATACACATTGTAAAGTAACATAAAAACTATAAACATCGTAGTTATTAATAATAAATTTGTAAAAAGTTATTTTTATCCAACATTGATATTTTGTTTGTAAGTCAATAATTGTTATTTTAATCAATATATAAAATTATAATTGAAAACAAATTCTGAAAACTATTATAATGATAAAATACAATTGATATTTTGTTTGTAAGTCAATAATTGTTATTTTAATGAATATATAAAATTATAATTGAAAACAAATTGTGAAAACTATTATAATGATAAAATACAAATGAAACTTATACAATTACCATGCCACATTATGTTCAAAACTTGTATAGTAGATGAACTTTTGACATTTGATATGTTTGACAATTTTTTGGAATTTCTATTATAAAAATATGTTTTTATCAATTTTTCTATTATCTAACACCAATATAATTTATGCTTTCTATGAATCAGTAAACCAATATATATTTTGTGTAAATTAATATGAAGTTTTGTAGAGGTTTAAGGGCATATATATACCTGCAAAAAACAAAATTGTTTGAGAAGTATGTATGATCCAAACATACAATATAAAATATACAACCATTTTAAAACTATGACATGTGGTTATTGCATTTAGACCTATTAGGTAGAAATAAACAGGAAAATGATGATTAATAGAATAAAAAGAAATAGAAAAAGGATTTTACATTGCATGTTAAAATTAATAAAGGACAATTTCACTTTCTCAAATCATCTTATCAACTGAAGAAAGACCTAAAGGGAAATTAACCTAAATGAAAGTCACACCTATCATTTGCTATTTTGTTTTACACCATAAAAAAATATATGCATCTCATTTTATTATCGAAACATCTAACACAAAAAATCTAATTTTTCATAGTATTTGTTTTTTTGGGGATTACATATAAAACATCACATTGTGTCTAAGAAGTAACCTAACCCAACCATCTGTGAATGAAATCTAGCTAACTTGAGATGCCTTCTTCTCCTAAAATCCAAAAAGAAATACACCAACTGTTGGTAGAAAAATGGGCTTTCTTGAAGCAACATGCAACATACATGCAGATTGACTTTTCGCCTATACAAAATGAAGTGAACAATCTTCATCAAAGATTAATTGTAATCTCTAATTCCTACAAAATCACATATATTAAGCATCACCTTGCAGGTAAGGTATCTAGTAGCCAATTCATATTCAAACAATATATAAACATGAACTGATTGCATTCTGTTAATCTTTGAGATAAATGCAAAAATAGCAATTTACTTTATATTTTTTAATATTATATCAACAACTGTCATAAAATAACTTAAAAGTTTGATGAAAATGATAGTTTTACATGTCTTTCATATTGGGTATAAAGGTTTTCAAAGTCTTTACCCCAACAATCAGCTAAACCTGGAGACTCATTTTGGAAAAAATAAAGACCAATTTCCATTACTTTGATTATTTTCCACAAAAAGATAAGGTACCCAAAGAGCATAGAACAAATCACGAGCACGTTGTTCTTCTTGCAACATTTTTGAATCAAGTTTAGAACTTTATGAATCACAATTATGGTTTTCAACTTAACTTTTAAAGGGTATTGACAATTGAAAAAAATTTGCTACCTTTCCATGGGTCTTCCTCAAATCAAGAAACTCAAGGATATCAGCATGCCATGGCTCCAAATAAACAACAAAGGCACCCTTTCTCTTACCACCTCATTAGTCAACATATCGAGCAGTATCATTAAACACACGCAACATTGGAATAATACCATTAGATGTTCCATTTGTGCCACGTATGTAGCTTCCAGTTGCTCTAATATTATGATCAGAGACGCCAATACCCCCTGCTGTTTTGCTGATAACAACACATTCTTTTAGAGTATCATAGATTCCTTCAATGCTATCATCTTTCATGCATATCAGGAAACAGCTACTCAACTGCAAATTACATTACTACCCTCATGTGAGAAACAAAGAACATTCAAGCGACTGAAAGTCTGAAACTAAGAAAGGTAAAGACAATTATTCATACTTAAGGCCTGGGTGTTCTAGCATTGAATAGGGTGGGAGAAGCATGAGTGAACCACCTCTGTGACATTAAATGATATGCTTTGATTACAGAATCAATGTCTTCTTTATGAATCCCAACAACGACTCTCATTAGCATATGTTGAGCCCTTTCCACAACATTCCCTTCTATCTTCAATAGATAAGACCTATCAAGGGTTTTGAATCCAAAATAATCATAGTCAAAGTCCCCATCATAGATAATCTCACTGTCTAACTTTGCAGCATACTGAAACAAAAACAATTCATACATAAATCACCAAATAAGAAATGGGTATAAGATTTTAAAAAAATAACTAAAAAGTGGTCAAAAGAAGTATAGTTGTGTACATATTATCCTTGTCTAAAATTGATTTTATTCAAAAGCTAGTTTTCTCAATAGGTGTTAATGACTAAATCTCCACATAAGAATAGACAAACAAGTTCATAAAAGGACATCAGTTTCGAATTATGTTGATTTGCACGGGCACACATCTAGTGTGTGTGTCTATATATATATATATATTACCACTTTATGTCTTTTTACCTTTACTAATTTATTGTTTATCATTTTGTGTTGTTACTTATGACTAATATTTTTATTTTTTTATAATTTTGAACGAAAAATTAAATGTTTAAAATAATTTTTATGATTAAAAATTATAAATTAAAATTATATTTTATTTTGTGGGATCTTAAGATCTTGATTCTGAACTTACGATCCCAATCTTGCAAAACCCAAAAATGGTCCTACTTAGGATCCCAATCCTGACAACGTTGAAAGAAACACGTAACATGTAATAATCAGGTCTCTTTTCCATGCATTATATATCCAAAACTTGTACCCTTTTTTAAGCGAAGAAAGAAACACGTAACATGTAATAATCAGGTCTCTTTTCCATGCATTTTTACCTCTTATTCTCACGCACCCTCCTCTTCATATTTATCGTTTTTTTGGCCTCCAAGAATCATTAGAAGTCCAATAGACATGGGTTATTTTTGGTCCGGTTCGGTTCCTGGTTTTGGGCCGGTTCTAATGCCCGGTTCCAAAAATCGACAATAATAGAGTATCCATCCCGGCCTGATCGGTTTCATCGGGTTTCGATTCCGATATCAGTTCCGGCCGGTTCCCCGATCCATATGCTCATCCCTAATTCACAAAATCCTATTTTGTCCATTAATGAAAAATTGGACTCCAGCTTGAGAAACTCAAGTAAGAAATTAATTTTCATTATGTTAATCTACTATATAAATGTTATTCTTTCAATGTGTTATTGTGTAATGTTAATATTTGAATGTTTTATGGTGATGTATAATAATATATTGTTATTCTATTATTAGGGTTATTTGGGTTACAAAATCATAATATGGTTTATTTGATTTTTTTCGGTTATACTAGGTTCTTAATTATCTTGTACATGTTATTCGGTTTATTCAGATGATAACCGAACCGAACTAAACCGAACACGTATTGGTTAATCGATTCGGTTTTCGGTTCATACAATTATCCTTATTCGATTTTCAGGTTATTCAAGTTCGGATCGGTTTGATCGGGTTCGGATCCAAATAACATTCCTAGCTCTAACCACCATACCACCTCACGAAGAGGTGCTCATGGCTTGTATCCGAGGGTCGAATTGTGTTTGTCAAAAATAGTTACACGTGACAAAAGATAGCATGGCTCGAGCCAGAAATTGATTTCCTCGAGATTCTTCCACCTAAGCTTTCTGAGTTGGCATTTCCAAATTAAAAGAAAACAAATAATCAACAAATTTCTTTCATCCCAGATTTCCCTCCACACATTCAATCCTCACCTTATCTCCCAAAATCTGTCCTATTCCTCGATTCCGTTCCCAAAATAAACTCTGCAAAATGATTTCAATTTGCAATTCTTACCCTCCAATCCACCACCATCACGGCCACCGGCGAAGATGGCCTCCAAATTGGGTTTCACCATAACCTCTTCTCGTTTCTTCACTGCTCCTTTTCGAAGACCTTCTGTTGGGTTGTCTTTGTCTGGTTCTAATCGGTTCGCTGCGTCGAAAGTTCACTCTATCCAGTTGATCCGAAGGGAGCTTGTGAGTCGAAGGCGATTGATTATTATTTCCCCAAAGGCGACAACTGATCAACCAGGTTAGGTTTTATTTCGTGCCTTGTTGCTTTTGGACTTCAGTTATGTAATCGAACTATGCTCTAGTGCTATGAATTTAACCTCCAAGTATCTTGTAAGTCCTTAATAATGAATATTAATAGATTTTGTTATGGCTTTTAAGCTATGTTTTAATCGTTTATTTGGATTCAATTTAGATGAGTGCTTTTAGAGCAATAATCATGGAAAGTTCTAAGTTTCCATGGATAAATGGATCGATTTAGACTATGGAACATCATTCTACTTCAACATAAGTTCATTTTTGGAGTGCTGTGTTTCTTTCAGGTCAAGTTAAAGAAGATGAAGTTGTCGATAGCAACATAATGCCTTATTGCAGCTTAGATAAACAACAGAAGAAGACAATAGGAGAAATGGAACAAGAATTTCTCCAAGCATTACAAGTAAACCATGTTTTTTATTTTTCACTTTCCATCTTGCTTAATTTGCACATGAGTTTCTCCATCTTCAATGCACTAATTCTTCTCTTCTATTCTCCTCCATAGTCATTCTATTACGAAGGAAAAGCCATCATGTCAAATGAGGAATTCGATAACCTCAAGGAAGAACTAATGTGGGAAGGAAGCAGTGTTGTAATGCTAAGTATGTACACCTTGTAATCATTTTTCAACTTTTCCCCATTGTTCTTTCCTTATAATGCCTTTTTGGGTTACACACATTTCAGGCTCTGATGAACAGAAGTTTCTAGAGGCTTCAATGGCTTATGTATCTGGTAACCCCATAATGACAGATAAAGAGTATGACCAATTAAAGATGCAATTAAAGGTACATGCTTTAGATAGTTGGCAATAATCCCTTTTCTTTCTTTATTCTTTCTTTCTTAAATCATTTTCTTTCAGAAAGATGGAAGTGACATAGTGGCTGAAGGTCCAAGATGCAGTCTTCGTAGTCGAAAAGTATGTGTTTATGAGATCCTCCATGAATCTTTTATTATTTTTCTTTTTCATTTTTTTATTTCAGTTAATGTCTTTGGTTGTAGGTTTACAGTGATCTTTCAGTTGATTATCTCAAAATGTTCCTCATAAATGTCCCAGCTGCTGTTGTTGCATTAGGATTGTAAGTCAAAAAGAAATTATAAATTAATATTCAAAGAATTCTGTCACTAGATTTACTTACATATGTTTGTATATCAACAGATTCTTCTTCCTGGATGACATCACTGGTTTTGAAATCACATACCTTTTGGAGGTAAATCTTTTATAACTATTTCTTTTTCTGTATTTCCTTTGTTTACATAACAAATTTATGTTTATAAACAATCATATTATCAGCTTCCAGAGCCATTTAGTTTCATCTTCACATGGTTTGCTGCTCTTCCCTTGATATTATGGCTATCCTTCACACTTACCAATGTCATTGTCAGAGACTTTTTGATCTTGAAGGTTAGCATCATCTTCATCACCTCACAACACTGACACTCTGACACTGATACACTGATACTGAGTTTGATATGCATTGGACTGAGACTCATACAATATAACAGTACAAACTACAAAATCACAAAATTGCAATTCTTTGTACCATCCAAGGAGGTGGGACAGGGACTTGTTTTTGATATCTCATGTGTAAAAAGACGTAAATGCCCTTATCCTTTATAGCCAACAAACGCAGCCTATAATTTTTTTACATTTCAGGGTCTTTGTCCAAATTGTGGTACTGAAAACACTTCATTTTTTGGAACTATATTATCGATTTCCAGTGGGGGGACCACAAACACAGTCAAATGCACAAAGTAAGTGACATATCTTTTAACCCTAATTGTGGGTCCCATCAACATAGAACACTAGTAATGTTGGAATTTACCATTTTATTACAGCTGTCAAACCCCACTTGTGTTTGATCAAGATACTCGTTTGATAACATTGCCTGAAGGAAGTGAAGCTTGAGTTGAGGTAATTTATGTTTCAAGGAAGATGCTATTGTAAATGTAACTAGGTTTTTTTAGGAAGTGTTGCATAAGCGTGGATTCGCGTTGAATGATAGTTGATGTATGTTCATGTGTATAACATGGTAACATGGATTATATATATGTTCATATATGTATATTTGATATTGGGTGATGACTCTGTTTGTTAAAAAAAGCAGAGTGTTCAAGTTTAAGTAATAACATCCCATTTTATAAAAGATGTATTTAGCTGTAAAAATCATGTTTATTTGTTGGATGCAAATTAATGCCAATGGTTGAGTTCATGACACAAGATGTTACAAGCTTGGGGAAATTTGATTGTTGAGTTTGAGAATTTCAAACAAAATATAACATATATTCTATAAAAGATATGATTGCCTTGTTGGAGAAACCTTTAGGAAATGTATCATTCGAGAGAAATTTCATGGGTGATCATGTAATGTTTGTATCATCAACCTCGGACCTCGGTTGTTGAAGCAATTTGTATGAATTTTATTGGGACAACTCATGGTAGTTTTTTGACAATATATTCCTCATTAACATTGTCCCCTAAGGCAATTGTATTTCTAGCCATGTTGTTCACATCCATGGAAAACTTCTCGATCGTTCACTACAAGAAAAATCATGAATAGCTACAGAAAAATGCTATGGAATCAAATTCTGTAGATTTTTGTTACAAAATTTCTACAAAATAAACTTTCGTAGCAAACTTATAACTAATTACGAAAATTTGTTATGGAATCGTAATTTGTAGTTAATCTGCTATGTTGCTACAAAATTAAAATACATAACTATTTTGCTACGGAAATTACTACAAATCTAATTTTCCTAGCTATTTTGCTACATAATGATATTTCGTAGCCATTTTGTTACGAAATTTAGTTATGAAAATAAATTTCATAGTTATTTTGCTACAATTGATATTCGATAGCTATTATGCTATGAAATTTTGCTACAGAATTTATTTACATAGCTATTTTCAGCTGAAAAATCCATAGCTCTTTTGTTACAAAAATTTCTACGAAACTAAGTTATGTAAATATTACGGAATGAAACTTAATAGCTATTTTACCCTTAATGTTTTTCTTCTTATTTTTTATAAACGACATATAAGGTAGGATTAAATATAATAAATTTGGGTGCAATAATTAACAATAATCGGTGACAGGTACATCTATTTGTGCATCGAATTATATATCTTAATAGTATCTAAAATTAACAAGGTCCAAAGCTACATGTTTCACGCATAATCCTCAGTTCAAAAATAAGGGCAAATTGGTAAAATCACAATCCTCAACTCAAAAATAAAGGCCGATTGGTAAAATCGCATGACCTCGTTTTGCACTTGGTTGCGAAGCTATTCAAGCGAATTGGTATCCCGATCAAACCTCTAACTTGCGACCGATCGCCTATCTCCATATCTCAGAGCATTAGGTATGGGTCACGTTATAACACCAAATTCATATGCCACCTCAATCATAATACCACCATAACACCAAGGGGGAAATGGTGTTCTCCATGTTATAACATGTTAAGAGGTAGAGAGAAAGAAAGAAAATGATTTGATTGGTTGATAAATGCAACAACCAATTAAACTTCCCGTTGCAACTTGTCTTCATCACAACGAGATATGCCATAACACCCTCTTAACGAGAAGAGGGGGTGGTGTTCATCTTGTTATGACTAAGTTATGATGTGCCACGTCAGCAATAATAGCATTTCAAGTTGCCCATACCATATGCTCTCAACCTACTGCCGTTTCTCAGCCTCCCCATCATGTCGGTCGTTGTTCATCCTCTATTTATATAACAGTCTAATTTCAAGAGGTATTTTTTAATCACTTGACCTAATTCTTCATTCCTCAGTTTTCCCCCAGTATACACTTACGCCATTATCGATCGAACTTCATGAAGCTCATTATCGATCGGACTTCACAGAGCTCCTCTCACTCTTGTTTGCTTTGTCGTTTGCCGCATGCTCCATCAATCGGTAGAATGTTCTCAACTGATGATCCTCATCGCCTTCGTGTCACTGTACATCATCCTACTCTTCTTCACCATTTTTTTTTCTCAATTGTCTTCATCCCTACAAGGTAAAATTCTTCTCTTTTATGTTTTCTTCTTAAAACCTGCATCGCTCGCCACTAAATCATCTTTTGGTGTCACCTAAAAACATCAGCGAGTATTTCTACCTAATGCTTCATTTTCTCTTTCTATCATCCAATGACCTGAAGGATCCATTGATCTCTCCATCTAATCCAAGGCGAGTTAATGTTACGTTAACTTTACCAATCGATACACGCAGCTTGATTCAAGTTTTTATTAGTGAATTTGATTGATCAGTTTTATTGATAATGAAGTGTTGATGTGACTTTACTACCTGAGCATCATATATATCACACATTGTTTGGATGTATTGTGATTGAATTAGTATGGATTTTCTTGGATAAAACTCATAATCTATCTTTGATAAAGGATAATAGTAAGATGCTGCTACTGCCTTATCATCATAGATTTATTAAGCTTACAAGAACCACTAAAATCAACAAATATCTTACAAAGACACAAAACTGCAAATTACTCCACTAAAAGCCATGGCTCAGTTATTACTTGTTTCAATTGCACCACTTGTGTGTATCTATAGATTTCAGTATCCCATGAACCAATCTATATGGATTGAATTGTTGAAATTACTCTTTACTGCAGGTGGTTTTTATAGCATTTTGGTAACAAAAAGTCTTTATGATGTTCCCAAATCAGAAAAAGTATATGATGTTATTATCCCCTTGTCTTGTAATTTCTTATCTGTTTTGAGTCATAACTCATGTCAACATTTTTATTGAATTTGGGCTATATAAATACTTTACTCATGATTTTGATAATATTTTCAGGTGGAATCGTATAATATAGAAAGATCACTAAGGAAAATCAAACGATGTAATCCTTCTCTCACTGTAAGTATATAAGAACCTGATCAATGATGTGTGAATATTAAATGGAAAGATCAAACATTTTAATCAATGGGCACTAGTTTAAGGCTATGTTTCGGCAAGGGTAAAATTGTCATTTACTCATGTCTAGAGAGTTTGTTCAAGTCACAAAAGAAACTATTTTTCCACGTTGATTATCTATGCATAACATTATCCATTCCATTTTTTTAAGGAACTCTACATTGAAAAATTTAACAAATTGTTAATTTTATTATCAATGTATTTGTATATGAAAATAGGATGCTATAATGAATAAATAAATGAAAGTATTTTTCTATTTATTACATATTTTCTTATGTCTAGACAGGACATGAAGGACAAATAACACAAGTGAAGTTTAAATAGAAACTGAATTTAGTCCTATGAACACATTTTATACGGATGTCAAAGCGGATCAAGTAAAGATTATTGCAGGTTAGATGATTACCAGTTGTTATATGATTATTACATATGGTGTGAAGTGCTATGATGTAATTTACAAGCCTTTAATTGCCATGAAAAATTCAGTTGATACAATTTACAAGTACTTGAGGATACAACTTGTATATACATTTGTACCCTTACATTAATAAATTCAAAATAGGTAACAGATGGAATATTTTTGTAACAATGCCCAAGATTCAAGTAAAAAAGATGAGTTCTTGGTTATGTCATTTGGACTAACCAATGGTCTAGCAACATTCATGAATTTGATGAATAGGGTTTGTAAACCATTCCTCGATAAATCCATGATAGTGTTCATAGACGACTTTCTAATTTACTCAAAGAGCCAGAAGGAGCATGGAAAACACCTGCGAGAAGTATTAGAAGTTCTAAAGAAGGAGAAGCTGTATGCAAAGTTCTCTAAATGTGATTTCTGGATTCAAGAAGTCCAATTCTTGGATCATGTGGTTAACCAAGAGGGAATAATGGTTGACCCAACAAAGATTGAAGTTGTGATGAAGTGGGAACGACTAAAAAGTTCCATGGAGATTCAAAGCTTTCTGGGATTAGCTGGATATTACCGAAGGTTTATCCAAGGCTTTTCTTCGATAACATCGCCATTAACAGCTTTGACCCATAAACGATCTACGTATACACGGAGTGAGAAACATGTAGAATCATTTGAGAAACTAAAGAAGAAGTTGTGTGAGCACCAATTCTTTCTTTACCTGACGGAGTTGAATACTTCACAGTCTATAGCGATGCATCTAGAGTTGGATTAGGTTGTGTTCTGACTCAAAGAGATAAGGTGATAGCATATGCATCTCAACAATTGAAAAAAAATGAGAAGAACTACCCCAATCATGATCTAGAGTTGGCAATGGTAGTATTCACATTAAATATATGGATGCATTATCTTTACGGCACGAAGTGATAACTTTTCATTGATTATAAGAGTCTCTAATATCTCTTTGATAAAAAGGAATTGAATATGAGACAACGACGCTGGCTAGAGTTACTCAAGGATTACGACAGTGAGATACTTTACCACCCTGGTAAAGAAAATTTTGTAGCTAATGCTCTAAGTTGAAAAGTAAGCCTTGAAAGAAAAAGGCCAAGAGCGTTAAGAATAGAAGTTATCTCAACGATTGTGGAAAGCATCGAGAAAGCTTAGGAAGAAGATTTAGAGAAAATTGACCGCAAGGAAGAACGTTTAGGTAAGATGTTGGTGTTCGGTACTCATAATCAAGGATTGAAGGTATTCCAAGATAGGATTTCGGTACCTAAGATGGGTGAAATAAGAAATATTTTGATGGAAGTGCTCACAAGACCATGTACTCGATTCGTCCCAACAACACTAAGATGTATAGGGATCTGAAACCCTACTACTGGTGGCCGACAATGAAGCTCGATGTTGGAAAGTATGTGGCAAAGTGTGTAACATGTGTGAGAGTTAAGGGTCAACATTAGAAACCATATTGGGAGTTTAGAACCTTTACCTATACTCATGGGTAAATGGGAAGATATCACCATGAATATTGTGACTAAACTGCCCATGACGAAGAACAGTCACGACATGATTTGGGTTTTCGTGGATCGATTCACTAAGAGTGCACACTTCATAGCAAACAATGAGAGATGGTCTGTGGATAAGCTTGCAAATGCTTACGTGAAGGAAGTAGTAAGGCTTCACGGTGTTCCCTTAACGATTCTATCAGATCGTGATAGTTGTTTCACATCAAGGTTTTGGAGGAGCCTACAAGAGGAAATGGGTATGAAGTTGTGTTTAAGTACCGCTTACCATTCACTGACTGATGGTTAGAGCGAAAGAATGATTCAAACACTAGAAGATATGCTAAGAGCATGTACCCTAGAATTCCAAGGTAACTAGGATGAATACTTACCCATGGTAGAGTTTTCCTACAATAATAGTTACCATTCAAGCTTCAAGATGGCACCTTATCATGCTTTGTACGGTCAGAAGTGTCGTACGCTGTCTTGTTGGCTTGAGGCTGGAGAGAAGCAATTTATGTGCCCCGAAATAGTCCATCACACTACCGAAAAGCTAATAATGATTAGAGAAAGGAT